CCAAGAAGAAAACAAAATTTGCCTTACAAATACAAAGCCTTTGATTAATATCTATTCCATTGCACTTGAATATATATATATATATATATATTTTAACAATTTTTTTTTAAAATATCTCTATCTATTTCATTTCAAATTTAATATGTCATAAGCAAATAAAGAGAATCAAAAGTTAATCATATTTTTTAAGTTTTAAATTTCTTTAAAGAAAATAACTAATTCTATTGATTTTTTTAAATGTATAATTTTTTTAAATGTATATTTGTATAATTTAAAATGAAATTTCTTCCAATATTTGGTCAATACTTAGCATCAATTCTAAAACTTTAAACTTGAAAAAAGATTATAAATATATTGCTTGTTATATAATATCTAACTACATAAAAATTAAGACTAATTTATAATTTTATTTTACCAAAAGTTATTTATTTTTAATGATATATTATAGTATAAATATAAATTTTTATTATTTAATGTATTTTTCTGAATATATTAAATTTTTATATATAAAAGATAAAAATTAGTAAGCTTTTATAATTGGTGAATCATAGATAATCACCATTTTTATACTAAGTCACTTAAAAATTTTAATTCTAAAAGTATACATTTATTTAATAGAAATATTTTTATATATATTTGAAATATATATAAAAATAATTTATAACAAGATTTATAAAAGAAATTAATATATAAAAAATAAAAAAATAAAAAATATTTATTAAATAAATAGATGTAATATGTAAATAATAAAATATAATACTTAGAAAAAAATATATTTTTAAAGTATTAAAAAAATATAAATTATTATAGCCATCAATTTTTTTGATGTATTAAAAAATTAAGTTTCAAAAGATGTATTTAAAAGATAACATAAATAGCATAAAAAATATTATTTTACAAAAAAGTATAATTTTTATAGAGATAAAAAAATATTATAAAAAAATTAATAATCAATAAAAATAAAAATATTATAAAAAATTTAATAAGCATATTATATAAAAATATTAAAAAATTATACATATATATATATATATATATATATATATATATATATATTAAATTTTAATTTTAATTTATAGAAATATAAAATCAAATATTGAAGTTACATTGATAAGATTTTTTTTAAAGTACAATCTTATAGATGAGCTTATCTAAAAATGCAACAAGAAAAAATAATCAATAGATGTTTTTATTTTAAAAAGATATAAAATTAATAAATAAAGAAATTTTAAAAATAAATTGTAAATATAAAATAAATAATTAAATTTTTATTATGAAATATTTAAAAATATTGGCATATAAATTTTTAATTACATATATCTATATACATACATATATATATATAATTTATTTATAGAAAATAATATTTGCATAAATCTCAAAAGTTTGAGAAAATATGAATAAATAATTATGTCTAAATTAAAAAAATTTAAAGTTTAAAATCTAATAATATTTTACTTGATTTTTTTTAATGATATGATAATTATCACATAATATAATCTACTTTTATTCTAGTATCTATATTTAAATAATAATATTTTAAACTAAAATAATAAAAAAAATCATTAAAAAATTATTTGATATGGCTATTACATCTTCAATAATATTCTACTTAATTTTAAATTAAGTCTTTATTTGGTTTTTGTAGAATCTGAGTTAGAAAAATTTAAAAGAATTATATATGAAATAATATGTCAATTTTTCTATAAAAGAAAAATCATAATATCAATAAATAATTTTATTTTTTTATATTATCTTATTTTAATCAAAACTTTAGTCATACCTATATTAACTTGTATAATAATAATGTCTCATAATGTAAGAACTGATAATAATAACTATGATTGTTTGCATGTTTGAATGTATGCACATATTTATTTTTTTATAAAATTTTAATTACAATCTTACCTATAACTCATAATATTTCAATAATTCTTCTATGTATTATATGGATATAGTTTTTAGGTTGTGATTCTTTACAAAATATAATTTAATGTAAAACATTAAAATTAAAAATTAAAATCAATATGCTTAAGAGTAAAATACACTAAATATTCAATCAAATTGTATAAAAAATAGAATGTTTATTTTGCTCTCATAAGAAATGAAGCATATACAATAATATCTTTTTACATTAATATCCATTAATTCAACAACATCTATTGCATAATGATGTTTGTTCTCACCAAATTTGTTTCATAGCAGTAACTTGACATTTCTTATATGTAATATCTAATACAAATTTTACAATTTATGAAATTGTATAGCCAAGTATCTAGCAATATAAAGACCTTAATAGAATAATTGAAAGTGTGGCTTTTACTTTGAATGTACTTTGGAGCCAAATGGTGCAACAAAACAAAGATGCTTTGATCTTAAATGCCTTAGTATCTACTTTGTTGACTAAATGTATCTCCTTTGATCCTAAAGTTTTCATGACAAAATCCATTATAAAATGCTTTGATTCTAAATACTATAGTATCTACTTTAAATAGAATAGCTTTAATCTTTAATACCACAATATCTACTTTGTTGAGCAAACACAATTGTCTCAATTCTAAATCTTCTACTATAATATCTATTCTATAATATATAAAGAATTGTCATTGTAATCAAGCATTTAGTGCTATTTGCAAGAAATAAGAGACATATAATTTATCTTTAAGGTCTTTCAATATTATATATTTTAAAAAATATATAACATGAGTAATCCCAAGGAGCTTGATTATAGCATAGATGACAAAAAGCTTCTCTTTTTTTGACACATCAGCTCAAGTTCTACTTCTAAATCTTTATCATCATCTTCAATCTTCCTATTTACAGCACTTGCCAACAATTCATCATTGAACAACTATTCATCTTCCATTAAAGCTTTTGCAATAAGATCAAAAAGAGCTTCAATAGATATTGGGTCATAGACACATAGTCATAGATGCTATCTAAAAGCTCATTATTGATGTCATTTTCATCCTCATTATGTTGAATTTTTTTAAAGCAATTAGTGAACAATCTTGTTTGCTAAAAAAAATGCAATTATTCATATAGGTATAGTAATCCAATCAACTTTTATCCAAAAAATTAATATTAGCTAATCAACTATGTATAATTTTTTTATTTTTTAATTCATCTTTGTCAATTATGTTTTATAAATGAAACCCCTATTACTATTGCTTAAAAGCAAACCTTATGTCAACATTTGTTGGTTGAAGTTTTAATGTTGTATTGAAAAGGAGCAATTCCACCTCAATGTGTGATCAAGGTCTAAATCAATTGTTCTATAGAATAATGCATTCTAAAAAAAACAAAATCTTGAGATTTACAACTATTATTATTATTATTATTATTATTATTACCGTTATTATTTCAAATCTTTAAGCTACTTGCAAAATACAAGCTCAATCATCCACACCTTATTATTACTTTAATAATAAAATCTTAATTATTTATCCAACTTCTTCTTGAAGTAATAGGGCTTTATCAAGTTATCAATGATAAAAACATTCAACTTTTTATTCTGATTTGCATTTTCTATGAATGCAATTGTAACCCAAGTTTTGTCTTTCTTCACCTCCTTGATCAATTCCTATGCAATTGTATAATTAAAAGCCATCCAAAATTAAAGGCATATTTTTCCATATTAAATACATCTTTTAGAATATACTTCAAGATCTTCTCTATTAGGATAGGAAGCTATAAGGCAATAGCTCCCATACTACCTAATTCAATTTCTTCAAATGACTTGAATAATTTGAACAAGAATTGCTTTTAGAAGCAATAAAATCTCTTATTTGATAAATTCAAGAGCCTTCCTTTTCTTGTTAATGTTAAAGTATTCAAAAAGTTGGCATGTTTTTTTTCCTTTATTAGCTCTTCTATCATTACCACTTTACTTGCTTGCTGTTGGAGGATCCAATTTGCTAATATCTTTTCAATCTTAAGGAAGCAATTAATGTATTCTCTCTTATTCAATGTTATACTGGTTGCATGTTCTCAAGGCTCTCATGCTACTTTAAAATGTTGCTAGTTGTAGATTAAGATGGAGCTTTGTAGATTATTCACTTTTAAACCTTAATTAAGGAAAACAAACATTCTATTAGAAATTGTTAGACAAATCTTATGGAAATAGATTCAACAAATTTAAAAAATTCAACACATTTCTTCTAAAGAAATTTTGAACATCCATAATTAGTACAACCACATTTTATCCTCACATAATTAACAAATTAGCCCAAAATTGAAGTCAAAGCCAAAGCTGAAGAAATTCAATCCAAACCCCATACTAAGAATTCTAGACACATTCACAGGATCTATAGACACAAACTACAACTTTTACAACAACTTTTACGTTTTTGTGGACTCTATATGATTGATTGAGATTTGGCGGTCATTCAAACTACTATATTCTCCTATGATTGATTAAAACTATTTGATTGATTGAACTACAATATCAAGCTTTTAAACTCATGTTATTGCTCACCTTCCTATGTTAGCAATTACACGCTTGTATAATGATTGCATGCTTATACAATATATTGCTTCAAATAGACAGAGGTGAGAGAGTGGATGAATAAGTTAAGTGAGTTCCATGTTCTTGTTTCTTTGATTATTATGAACAGAAGTGCAAATCAAGAAGGGGTGGTAGTGGTGGTCCGCATACAGGATACACTGCATTCCTTACTACAATCACCCTGGGTGTTCATTTCAGTAACATGACACCCATCCTTACAATGACATTGGAACATTGATACCTTCAGTAATTTATTTGTCCATGCACTTCCTGTAACTCACATAGTATTATAGAAGTGAAACCAGGAAGTGTTTCTTTTAAAACATCAACCTTAAACCTGAGATTCTACAAGGCGAATAAAACCTGAATTGAAACACGATTCACAGGATCTATTACTTCGGTGGAGTAGAGACTGACTATAAACTCCATTGAGAAGAAAACTGAAAATCAATCCATTATTCTTGCGATAATTGCACTCCATAAAGTCTCACAATAAACTTATAATGCATCCAAAGGCTCGGATTTATATTCCTTCGCACGCAGAAACTCGGAAAACAAAATGGTATCAAGTCCTTATCATAGACTAAATAAGCAAATAAGGAAAAGGAAACATGGTAAAGTTCATTGAGCGGATTGTTATGTAAAGGATTCGACAAACACCCATGAAAGGATACGCAGCTTAAATTGAACCAAACCTGGAAACCTCGTTCAAATGCATTTTATCCAAGCAACCCTTAGGTTTAACGACGTGCTATTCACACTGAGCACAGATATTCTGCGTGCAAAGTCAACTCCCAAACCTCAAATCGGTTACCACCTTCCAAATTGTCCCTAGTGAACTCGTCTACATCCTCGGATTGAATGAACACTTACAGCTTGAAACTCACAGCACTCTCTTAGGAATTCAACGCCGTAACAACTGCATACCCAAAGCAAAGAGCTGTGAATCACAAAAGTTGTAATCACAATACAAAATTCTATTTTCAGTACAGTTATCAGCACATTGTGTAAGCTCTCGGAATTACAAGCACACTGACTCATTCACACTACTTATTTGAATGAACCCAGACAGTTGATTTATGATTTGATCACCTAGGAGACACTAGGAGGTAACATTACATTAGATAGCATTCCACAGGACTTATACATAAGTAAGAAACCATTCCCAACTATAGGAAAGATAATGTGTCTGCTTTTTCTGCGACTTTCAGACAGAAATTTTCGATTTTTTTGATTTGTGATAATGACCATTGGAATTTGCTGGGGACTCCTCACTGGACCTTTTTTTCGACTTCTTAACACTACTCCGCTGCACATCACTATCATTCCCGTTGCTCCCTCTATCTCCTACACTGCAAAGATTATGTTCAGTAAGCACCTCTTGAAATTCTTCCTTCACTGGAGTTCCTCCTTGTAAAATATCGCCTCGGTGTTTTTTCTTCTTCTTCTTCTTCTTCCTGCTGCTATCTGCCGGTTTCATATCCTCATCCTCGTCTTGCACAGCGCCTTCTTCTACCTTAACTACCTTCGCAGGTGTATCTAGTGACGCATGAAGTCCATTAGAAACCACCCCATCTACACTCTTACTCTTCTTCTTTTTCTTCGCAGTTTTCATGGTGTCCGAGTCGCTACCCACAGCAAACTCAGTCTTGATGTCTGAGTGCAACCCTTCCGTGTCCACGTCCATTGCCGCTCCATCCGTACCCTGTTTAAGCTTCTTCTTCTTCCGCTTCTCACTCTTCTGAGATTCTCGGGCACCGTCTACGCCATCAGTTTGCCTCGGAGTGCTTGGCAGCATTTCAGTAACAGCAGGCTTCTCCTCAAAACTCAGTCCTCCGTTGGCCAGCTCTCCTGCCTCTGCACCATCTAACTCATGTCCCAGAAGTGCCTCAAAATTAAAGGTTGTTTGATCTTCTTTCTTCGCCTTCTTCGACTTTTTCTCTTCTCTAGATTTCTTCTTAACGTCTGGAATTTTCTCAACCTGTTCGACATTAAAAAACTTAGAAGTACGCTCTGCAGTTTTCAACTCCACGTCCTCCCTAGCGTTCCCAAAATTTTCCTTTCTCCTCATCAACATCTCCTCTAAAGATTGAGAGACAGCCTCAACGTAACCTTTAGCAATTCCAACCTCCGATGCTGCCTCGCTGGACAAGAAACGGCGGAGCAGCGCCGCAGCTTTTTTTACAGAACATGGTGCAGAAGAGATCTCTGTCCCTTTCACTGGCAACGGACCCGCCATAGCGAGCCTACGTCTTAAAACCTACAAGAGCATAAAAAAAGTAAAACAAAGCAATCCAAGGGTTTAGGGTTTAGAACCCCTGAACCTCAGCATACACATCCTACAAAACCCAGAAGGAACAATGAAACTGACTCAGCAGTTCCAAGGCTTCGAAACTGAGTATCTATGCGCTGTAGCAGTGTCAGGTCTTGAGAGATGAGTCGCCAATTGTGATGCCCTAATCAAAATCTTAGAGAACAAGGTCAAGTACTCAAACACAGAAACTCGTCCAAATTCGCAAACCACGAATCCTCAAAGCCGCTTACTAAGACCTGTACACAAACAAGAGACGAAAGGAATCACCACACTCGCAATGGAGCTGGCCCGTCTTTGTTCCAAGTGGAGAAATTGCAGCCGCAATGTCCAGATCCTTGAAAGACAGCGCGAAACGAGAGAGACGAAGTTCCCATCTTGTCCATCGTGTTCCCATCATACAATAACTGGGACCTCTCTCTGTGTTAGATGAACAGATACTATGAATGAATGAATAAAAACTTAAGTACTCATTCATTATGCTTTCATTCGTCTCGAATATTCAATAAACTTCAAAATGCACAACGCATACTCATAGTTGGGCCTGTCTTCCTCCATGGAAATATAAACAAATTACACATTTTAATTTAGTCATTTTTTAGCCAAAAAAACACTTCAGAAAAATATGTATTTTTTTTATTTTTGGATAGTCCATCATTAGTGGTGAAAATGAAAACGTATACTATAACTTATATATATTTAAACATGTGCATTTTGTAAATATAGTAATTATTAATTTATTTTAAAACTTAATGAGGCATCGGATACATATGTTATGATTTAACTTCTTTTTTTTTAATTTAACTGGAATATTAACGGAGTCATGCATTCAGTGAAAAGCTAATAACATATAAACAAAAAAATATCCAATTCTTATTGTTATCATACCCTTTTTTTTTTATGGAAATCTCTTAACTTTATTTTCAAAATTGATACATTAAATGTTGCAATATTTCTAAACAGTTTAGACTAGAAGGTTTTCATATATACATATGCATGGACTAGGATATATCAAAATTTATATTCAAAAATATATTTATTCAAAAATTTCTAAAACTGTAATATCACTCGAATTTGAAAATTTTGTTGAATAAGTATTTAAAATGTCACAAAAACAAGATAAACAATTAAAATATTATATTTTATATTTTATAATTTAATAAATATCACTGTTTAATTTATTGGATATTAAATTCATTAATTAATCATGCGCAGCATCGATCTCATTGTGTGACATTCAAAACTTCAAAGTATTTTTTTAAATAAAATTTGTAGCCCAATAGTGCCTACCAAGATGCATAGCGTTGGATGGTTTAGTATTTTTCGTGGATGAAAATTTGATAATCCTGTTGAGTCGCCAGGATCATCCACAAGGTTCCAGGCTATGGCGGATTAGGGTTACGACATCTGATGCTTCGAATTGCCAGGGAGGGGGTTTCTGGATGCGTGGCTTGTTGAGCCATTGATTGTCTCCTCGAACCATCAAGGAAGCCCTTGACAACGCATACTTCCATTTCGAAGGTGGTATGCAGGAGTCTACTGAATTTGTATGCTACTCGCACATTTGAAGGCAATCGTTTGAGTAAGGTTTCGGAGAGGGTGCGATGTCTCGGCGATATGATAGTCGGACGACGATCTTCTCTCCGGAGGGTCGTCTGTACCAGGTGGAGTATGCCATGGAGGCAATCAGCAACGCCGGTGCCGCGATCGGGGTGTTGGCCAAAGATGGAGTGGTTCTCGCAGCTGAGAAGCGTGTCACTTCTAAGCTCTTGGCGACGTTGAAATCTACGGAGAAGATGTATAAGATTGACGACCATGTTGCATGTGCTGTTGCGGGTATCATGGCGGACGCTAACATTCTGATTAACACTGCGCGGCTTTCCGCGCAGAGGTATACTCTAGCTTACCAGGAGCCCATGCCGGTGGAGCAGCTGGTTCAGTCGCTGTGCGACACGAAACAGGGGTACACGCAGTTTGGAGGGCTTCGGCCTTTTGGAGTGTCGTTCCTGTTCGCAGGGTATGATAAGAATTTCGGATTTCAGCTGTATATGTCGGATCCGAGTGGTAACTACGGCGGTTGGAAGGCTGGTGCCATCGGAGCGAATAACCAAGCGGCTCAATCGATGCTGAAGCAGGACTATAAGGACGACATGAGCCGGGAGCAGGCGGTGCAATTGGCGCTGAAGGTGTTGAGCAAGACGATGGACAGCACGTCGCTGTCGGCAGAGAAGCTGGAGTTGGCCGAGATCAGTTTGAGTCCGGAGGGCGTGTTCCAATACCAGGTTTGCAGCCCGGAAAATTTGAATAAGCTGCTGTTGAAGTATGGCATCACACAAGCAGCAGAAGAGAGCAATTAACCATTGAATTCATCCTACAGCAGGTCTGCTTGGACAAAACAGCATTGATAGCCTTGAATCCTGATCAGTGTTAGATTTGATCGTAGGTCTTGCGGAATTCACATTTCGATTATGCTTGATGTACATGATTGCTCACAACTAGCTTTCGAGGCTCATTGGACATATTTCAGGGTAACGTTTTATTTTTGTAAAGTGCTACAAGTCAATTTTCTGTTAATCCTAGCAATTCAATATCCGCTCCTGCTAGATTTAAATCTCGAAATTCCTTTGGTTCCGTCAGATGAATTTTTGTAACTCCTGCTTTTCTAGCCTCAGTCTCACTGGTTGTATGGATTTAGGTTTAGTTTTATCTCTTCATAATCCTGTTAGCATGTCTGTTCTGAGCCCCTTCTGTTGGATAGCTCGAAGCCATATATCCGATTCCAAAGATTACACATATTCACAACGCAGCTGGATAACCAACGGATCAAATGGCTTCGGAGTTTGTAGTCACGGCTGCTGGTGATGGCGTCATTGCTTCGTTTTTGTCCGGTCATTGTGTATGAATTTGTTTTATGTCTCGTCTGTTGTGCCAAGTCTAGGCAGATTTCTATTAATGTTGAACACGTAGTAGCAGAAATAGCCGCTCGGTAGCAGCAAATTTTTGGAGTTGACTGCTACGCTATGCTTGTAGTTCATGAAAATGTAGCTGCATATTTAGTGTTGAGTTACAGTGAATTCTAGGAGTTCTATGTGTTGCCTGGTGGTCACATCTGGAACTACATTATTTGAATAATTTCTCTCAACAATGGCAAGTTGGGGACCTGCTACAGACTAAAGGTTTTAATTGAAACTTGGTTTGTCAGTTGTTCACCTTGTGTGGGTTTTGGACCTGTCGACCTGCATTCTCTTAAAAATGTGCATTTCCCTGTGTGGATCTATCCTGCTCTTTGATTGTCATGGTTTGGTATTGACATTAGGATACATGGAACATGTAATGGTGCACATATATGTAGTTTTCCGACTTGCTGGAAGTTGGTATATGCATTTACCAATTGAACCTAACTTCTCTGTGATCTTCTGTTGTAAAGGTAGTGCAGACATGTAGCATGTAAATCTAAGTTAAAATGCAAACGTTGTGTAATTATTGTACGTACTGCCTGCTGACTTACTGAAAAGTGTCTGGCTATTTGCCATGAATTCCACATCAATATGACCTTGTTTGTTTGTATGCATCTTTGTGATGTGAATGGTACCAATCCACTTTGGCCACCACTCAAATGTTAAATGCAAGTGTAGCAGTGGGCCAAGACCTTACACAGGTAGCCCTCAACTGTCATCGAAGTAAAGCATTTGATATGTGTGTGACTACTTGCAGCACAACACCCTCGTCTCTTTCCCAAATAAAATTTTTCCTACTCTTATCAACCAAACATCGATGGAACAATTTTTTTTTTTTTTTTTTTTTTTTTTTTTTTTTTTCTGTTGCTATGATTCAGCCTCCTGGTTACTCAGTCAAGATTTACACAGAATGCTCAGCTTGCACAACTTGATATTTTACAATAGAAAAGCTAGAATCACTCTGCCGCCAAAGACTGGTCATCTAGTAACATGGCGATAAAGGACCATCGAACTCAAAACCCATGTCCCAGTTCGAACGTGGAAATGATGCACTTGTGAGACGGAAACAGAATTCACAACATGAAGTTTTGAGTGGACTTATGAGAAATTGAGCAGGCACGCTCGCACAGTTCAAAACTGGCAAGATAAGGGAATGAATGGGGATGGTGGACAAGGCGACAGTTCCGCCTGGAATCCCAGGGCTCAGAGGGGAGGGGGCTTGTGGGGGCAGTAGTTGAGTTGGGCTGCTGTGTCTGGCATTGAGGCTCTCTTTGGGGCTCTCACAACAACTGGGCTTCCTCGTCCTCCCATGTCCTCATCCTCCTCTTCCTCCTCTGCTTCTTCTTCATCTTCTTCTTCTTCTTCTGCGCTTCCTCCATTTGCTTGCATGCTCACGCGCGGGTGGATCCACCCTCATTGAAGCTTCAGCCTGATCTAAGGTGCCACATCTCTTGTGCATCTACATTTTCCTTCTGTGTTATGTTTAGAATTTCTGTGTGGCTGGGGTTTTGTCTTGGACTGAGATCTTCGATTCGTGGCTACGCCTGTTTTTTCAGCGAGTCCCCCTCTTGCAACAGGAAGAGTAGGCGCGACTGAAATTTTCGATATGGATGCAGATGTGAAGAATATCTATGTGTTTTGGAAGTGTTTATGGTTTAAGGATTTGGACCTTGCAGGAGTTTATTTGGTTTCGTTTTGCGTCTTCGTTTTCAGTAGGTGGTTCGGATCTGGCCTTTGATCGTGGATTTCTTTTGATCAGAGTGGATGGCATCGGTCCCGTAGTTTTTCCCTGTTCTGAATGATGCTTTTTTTTTCGTTAGGTTTTGGAAAGTGGGGATTCTTCTTCTGGAAGGTCTATAGGTCGCGTTGTAGAGGCCCAACAATGGCGCACAAGGCCGACGATGAGTATGACTATCTCTTCAAAGTAGTGTTGATAGGAGACTCAGGCGTCGGAAAGTCTAACCTTCTTTCCAGATTTACACGCAATGAGTTCTGCCTGGAGTCGAAATCCACTATCGGTGTGGAGTTTGCTACTCGTTCCATTCAGGTATTTTCCCGCTCTCTTCGTAATATTTTGAATTCCAATTTATGAGACCGGTTAATTGGTGATGAGAATACGTTTCAAAGATTGCTCGATTTATGATAATGAAGTGAAGGTCCTTAATTTCCTCTTACACTTGGCATAGTGACTTCGAAAGCATTAAAGTGCACTTTAAATAGTGCTGAAGGTTTTCTTATGATATATATACAGATAATCTCACGCAAAATCATCTGTCCACCCATTAATGTCACACAAGTCGATGAAAGCCCTAAGCTACTGCCTCGGTAACCTGGGACAGTAACGAATCAAAGACGTGAAGACAGTCTATTTTCATTTTGGAAAGGTTTTACTGCTCGGTCGTAGCATAATCTCATATAGTAAATGATTATGTCGTGGGTTACAATGATTATTCATCGTAATATTCTTTTAATTTTTAGGATTATATGTACAATCGCGCCCACAAGTCATGTAAATTTCAGCTCGTTTTATTGTGTGATTATTCTCCATTCGTATGTGCGATTTGGATCTGTGCTCCTCGCACGAGATCATCAAATGTTTATGTTCGTGATCAATTGTGCACCATCAGTAATATGGGTTGCGCGGCATAATGTATTTTGCTGTTGACTCTGCTTTGAGTTCCGGCCTTCTGACATGACATTACTTGAGGAAGGTCGTTTTCATGCAACTCAGAATCTTGTAGTTGAAGTAGCAATGCAACCTCATACGTGCTAAAACCTTTGAAGAGCTGCCAAGTTTTCGTTTTGTTCTACTTTTGAGCTCTGTACTCTAACCCCAGCATTAATCTTATATAATATGGTAGTATGGAATCTGTTTCGAACGAGAAACCCTTATTCTGGAGCTTACTGTGTGTGCCAAATACCTAGGTTGATGGGAAGACTATCAAAGCACAAATTTGGGATACAGCAGGGCAGGAAAGGTACAGAGCGATCACGAGTGCTTATTACAGAGGAGCTGTGGGGGCTTTGCTTGTATATGACATCACAAAGCATGTGACTTATGAGAATGTCGAGAGGTGGTTGAAGGAGCTGAGGGATCATGCTGACTCGAACATTGTGATCATGCTGGTGGGCAACAAATCAGACCTCAGGCACCTCAGAGGAGTGTCACTTGATGACGCTCAATCATTTGCAGAGAAAGAAGGTCTATCCTTTATTGAGACATCGGCTTTGGAGTCGACCAATGTTGAGAAGGCATTTCAGAGGATTTTGACAGAGATTTATCGAATTGTGAGCAAGAAAGCGTTGGCATCAGAAGAGAACGCTACTGAAGGCCCTGGACAGGGAACCAACATTGTTCCACTTGACAGCAATTCTCCAGACTTGAAGAAGAAAGGGTGTTGCGGAGATTAGAACCTAAGGGTTCTACTCGTTGATTGTCATTCATCGACAGGGTGTGGATTGACACTTGAAGTTGTCTTATGCAGTGCTTTTTCCTCGCTCTACCGGCTTTGATCCCCATATTGTAGCGATGAGTATTTTTTTTTTTTTGTTGTCAGAAGAAATTGAAGTGTCTTTTATCTTTGGGTAAGGTGCACTAGTTACGATCATCAATGATTGACTCCTTTGTATTAATTGAAGGGTGTCAGTGCGACTATTACATTGATACAGTTAGAAGGGACGTACATTTACCTTTTTTCTAGATTCATAGCGGACTGGCCAAGCGGTTAGTCTCTGCAGCTAAGTCAGCCAGCTGCCATAATTTGAGAGTGTGGAGGTGTCAGATTTGCATTCCGCACGACTCTCAAAATGTTGTGTAGAACATATATTACATTGTTTAACAGGCTGTTTGGCATGGCCCGTCTGGTTTCATACAAGACGTCGTCTATGATCACGAGTTATGTTCTTTCTGTATCTAACAGCCTTTTAAAAAGAGCTCAGGTTATCGATTTTATTTGGTTTCTGCAGAGCGTGTTTGTTGTAGATATGAGAAGCTATCCTTCATTTAAGTCGATATGCATATCAAATTCATTCTGACAACTGGTTTCGACTTTTCTTTTCTTTTCTTTCCTTCGTAGATATTAATAACTGCGTATTTGACAATGTCTTTGCTAATTACGTCATATTTATTCTTTGAAATCAATTCACACAACCAGGGTAAATAAAACAAGAGCTCCATTTGGACATAAATTTGTCTGCATCCAATGTATTAAGTTTTCTTCTTTCTAAACACAGACCAGTGGGAAGCTCTAAATACGCATGAACCACGTCCTTTTTGACTTCAATGTTCTACATTCTGCACAAAGCGTGCTAATTTCCATGATTTCATTTCTTTTTCTCACACCCTTCTTTTCAGCAAAATATTCACTTACGATGTTTTTGTACTCGTGTCATCTTGTTGAAAATCGAATACAAGAACATACACAAAGTATAATGTTGTTTGTCATAAATCAGTTATACCACATATTTTCGGGCCACTTTACAAAATCAGCTGTTATAAAAGCGATTCGCACAATTTTTTTACATTTACTGACACATATCAGCGTAAATAAATAGTCGCTAAAGTTATGAAGACACTTAATCCAATAATATCACACCATAGACCAAAAATTTAAAATAATTAGAAACTATGATGTTACGAAACGAAGATTTGCATGTAAAAATGAAATGCTTTCTTAGTGTTTCAGAAGCCTTCTCTTTTTTCGAGGGGTTGATAAGCAAGAATCCAAGTTTGGTATCGATCGGGTTGTGCTAGTCTCAAGCAAGACTTTCGTATTCGCGAACACAGTCTTCGCGTCATCACTCTGCGCCATCAAAAGTTCGCTAACGTTATTTAGGTGACTAATCGCAGAACCCACCACAGACAAACAGGAGTCGCTCAAAGATAGATCCCTCCCCCTGCAGGTGCCACGTTTGGCGCCGAGGTGGCTTGGTGTGAGGAAAAACACCTAGTTCCCTCACCTTTCCACACAATAGGGTGGAGGGGAGGTGTGGAGGAGAGGTGTGGAGGGGAGGTGGGTGCTGGGTTTGTGTGTATCGGAAGGAAGGCTGTCGTACTGGTTTTGGTCTCCCGGAGATTCTATCGCGGCGGCCATAGCCTCCAATCCTCGATCGCCAGCCCACATGTCCATCGCGTAACCCAAGGTGCGCCCACCTTCAGGGGGGAGTTAGGATCCGTCAACCAGGTCAGCACTTCTTTTCAGGGCCCAGTTTTGTGATACACTTTTTGGTCTTGGGACTCATATGCGCACAAGTTCAGTGCACTGATCATGCAGTTCACAGGATCTGTCAAATTCTAGCGCAGCGCGTAGCAGCCTTCAGAAGATCCCCGTGACATGCACGGAACAATGCGTGTGGAAATCAGCATGCAAATGAACGATAAACAAGGATTTGTTCCGATCAGCGCAATCCTCCGTGGAATGCAACGCAAGTGGTCATTGTGAAGCATATGACAAAATAAAAATGAAAATAAAAGGTTGAATCGTCGTGTAATCCATCCATTCTTCATTTCATTCTTCAATTCATTCATCATTCCCATTCACACCGTATACATTTTACAACTAAAAATCCAAGCGACTGCAGAAACATCGTATACCCATTGTCAATGTTATCCATTACTTCTGCGTGGTTAATGTTTTAAGAAGGTAATCTTTCCTGGCTCTACGAATCCAGCATGGGACAAACTGTTACGGTATTACTAGTCACTCGGTTAGATATGGGAATATCTTATTCTGACTTCAGTTTAAGCTGTAGAGAACTGGGAATGACATTCCAGACCAATTGTAAGCCCAGCCCTCCTGACAAGACGGATCGTTTTTGTCTGTTGTTAGGGGGGAGGGTATCCACGCCAGCAGGGCTATGGATTCAATGAGCCGCCACCAGTGCCTAATAGCCTTTAGATCATCGGAAGACCTTTCATCGCGAAGGGTTCAAATTCCAACTTTCTTAACCAGATTGACTTTTGGGTATGGAGCCGGTGACGGTAAATTCATCCCAGCTGCAATCGACGATCGTGCACTGGACGAAACGAGGTTCGCACCGCGCTACAGTCTACAACAACCCCAAATTCAGCCACGGTGTATGATGATTCAAAACGAATCATAAATCTCACTGCAATCGTAGACCTCGTGGAAAAGAGTTTCACGAATTACGTCTATCATTTTTGACCCACCAACTCTTTCAGAGTAGAGATCTGCCCAAAACGTGCATTGTAGTCGGAAAAGTGTATATCGATTATAACTCGACGGCGAAATAGTTTATTCGTTAATATTTTAGGTGTATGAAGAAGTGATTGGGAGACGGAGGCCTGTGGTGGGCCGTTCCTCATGTTTTCCCAATCGTCACACTACCGATGGGGAGGAGACAACCAAGTGGTGAAGGGAACTGCAGGAGGTAAGTAACGGGTATTGCCGGGTAGCGAGGCCCACCGGAGCATGGCAACTCGCAAATCATGGCTTCCACAATGGTTGGGGTCGGCCCCCAAAAGAGTAACCCTCCGCCATTGCCTGCCTCCCGACCTCCCGCCACGCGCGCCCCACTTTCCTTCCACCGCACCTTACGTGTCTAGCCTCGCTCCCTACATCACCCGATATGGGTATGCATCTAAAGCGCCGATCCACCATTCTTTCCTTCGCCATCGAATTGCGTATTGCACATTACTTCCTGATTACGAATCCTGTGGAGTTGGCTGTCTTTGTACACCAAGTCAGCTATTCGACGATCGTGCATTCGTGTTGTGGGACTCTGGAAACGACCAAGAGAAAAAAAGGTGCTGCTGCGTGCGAAACAGGTTTACGTTTGATGTGAGACCCTTCGGAGCTGGAAGCGAAAATAGGAACTTGCTTCGCCGTGGACTGCCGTTGTTAAAAAAGCGATCGGCCTGCAGTGGGGAGATATTAATATTGCGCGTTGATTGCACTGCGTGGGAAATAGAGTTGCAGAGTTCAAGTAGTGAGAGCGGAGTTTCTTTTTTCAATCCTGTGGGTCTTGGAGTTCTCCTTTATCAACCTGTCTCCGTATTCTTGTTTGAAGTAATCCGGTTTGTGAGCTTCTTGATTGCTGCAAACCCCACATACAGGCGTGGCAAAAAGTTCGTGTGCCAAGAATTGATTCAGGGAAGATTCACGTATCGATCGGTGTAGAAGCTTGGACTTGAGGAAGTTTCAAAGCCATGGCTACTTGCGGTTTGTTCCAGCCACCGATCACAGCAGGAGTTGCCAGCCAAAGTCTTCTGAGGGTACAGAATGCAAGTTCTGCTCCCCTACCGTGTCCAAGCTCCGCTTTGGTCTCTTCGGCTTCTCACCTGAAGATTGCGGCAGCGGCCATGTGCAGCAGCGCCTCCATCAAGAAGCAAGGATGCGGGCACAAAGATATAAATTCTCAATTCTGGAACATGGAGAGCCGACTAGGCCTTCTTGCGAGGACCAATGTTCTGGAGGTGGCGCACCGGTCTGGATCTCCTAATCCTGTGGTGAGATCTCGCATCTTGTCATGCTGATGGCAGATTGAGGAGTTATCATCAGGTTCTGCCGTGACCGAGGGCGTCTCAGGTCGCATGCCATGCACGTTTTCGTAGCGGCACACAGTAGTCGTTGTATTGTACAGTCATGCAACCGTCACAGGAAACATTTGCAAACGAGTTTCCCATATGATATCCATTCAGGATCTCATGCGATGTTTTTGCATGGATTTCTGTCCGTCTTGCTTCAAGTGGAGTGCACCACGTGCGCTTTTCATACCAAGTCCGCTACGAAAAGTTTAAAGGACCGGGCACATCACTCAACAGCCGCAAAGTAACTGATCAATCTTGAAAACAACTTATTCTTAACGTAGAGAGATTCGTATGAAATCTTGAAGGGCCTCCCTCTTGCGATGAGCAGCATAACGGTTGTCGGAGCGGCATTTTACAGATATGTGTCACGTTGGAGGTTTTCTGAAATTCTCCTGTGCAAATAACCCTTGTCATGGCTAGGTGTCCACCGAATGAACAACCTTCAGTCCTGTCGGCACTCATCCTGTTGAGGAATGCACTCATGGGTTCAACGTGATATCCTTAATCGGAATTCAACTCATCGTTTGCAGAAGCAGTATCATGGGATTAAGTAGTGATCAGCTTGTGTCTCGGCTGAAGTATAAATAGGACGATGACAACAAGTGCAACATTCAGAACTGGTTGATGTATGCCATATTTCGATTCATGGTGGAGTGTGCAAGCAGCAGCCCCTAACCATTGTGCACCTCCTGCTGCAGTATGTCGTTTTGTCGCTAGCGGATCTTAAAAGTAGTTTTTTACGCACTCGGGGTTTTGCTTAACAATACATCTTATGTAGTGCTCCCACACAAGGTTGAATTACCGTCATAACGTGCTGACCACCCGCTGGTTCATGGCTTTGCAGACAGCTAGGTTATTCGGTCCATCAATATTCGAGGCTGCTAAGTTAAAGGTTCTTCTGCAAGGAGCTGCCAAGAAACACCCTGAAGAGTTACCAAGGGTGTACACCCTGACACACAGTGATGTCACTTCGAAGATAACCTTAGCCATTTCCCGTGAGATAAATAAGGCACAGGTACATTACTGTCTGCTCATGTATCTCGAGCGTTATTCAATTCTATGATTGAAATCGTGCTGTTCTGGAAATAAACAATTCTTCTTGTACACGTTGGTGACTTTTTACTGTTCCTTCAGAGAGGTTGTGTTAGATGTAAGGTCGTTGATCACAAAGCACTTCAATCATTTTGAGCACCAGTTATGAGATTTTCTTTATTTCCAAGATTTATGCTTAAGATCCATCTCCGTGTTGGGGCAGTTGAAAGGATGGTACAGTAAATTACAGAGAGACGAAGTTGTGGCGGAATGGAGGAAAGTGCAGGGAAAAATGTCACTTCACGTACACTGCCACATAAGCGGCGGTAACGTATTGCACAACTTGATTGCAAACTTGCGCTTCTACATCTTCCGTAAGGAGCTACCGGTGGTTAGTGCTCTGCACTACACTTTGTAACAGTTCGCGACAATCTCATTTTGGTTATGCTTATTTACATTTGAATGCTGCATTATTCGCGATAATCGACAGGGATGGGTATAACAGACGCCCTTTCGGCCTGAACTCATCGGACATATGTGGACTCTGCAGGTTTTGGAAGCATTCAGGCATGGTGATGAAGAACTTTTAAAGGAATACCCAGGTAAATTCCCTCAGCGATTCGCTGCTTACAATGATTCTCCCTCATGTCCCAACCTACCAGAGCTTGCTATTTTGCATGTTGCTACTGGCCAGGTAGAAAAATCATGCTCTAATACCTGAATGAAGATATCCCATGGACATTTAAAGCCACGTGAAGACTCTAAATCCTGAATTCGTTTCAAAGGCGTTCCCCAATTGGTTCCATGCACGAACATAGGTTGTGAATTTTTTCCATCTACAGTCCACCGGTACGAGCTCAGGGGTGTGTGCTATCACATCGAGAGAAACCAGGAATAACATACCTGAATATCTTACCTTAAATAATGCATTCTTGCAGATCTTGATAACTCTTTAGTGTGGGTGTACTTCCACTCCAATGTCAATGAGTACAACCGCCTGGAATGTTGGGGTCCACTTGCTGAGGCTGCAAAGGTGAATTTTACTGTTATTCGATTTAATGTTCAATGTCCTTTTCAATCTTTTTAGACCTTGCGGGATGCATTAATGTTTAGAAACACACTAAGCTCGCCAAAACGAAAAATCCTGCAGGGTGAAGATGAGGCGAAAGAAGTTATACATCATGCTATGGAGGAGATTGAAAAGAAGTGGCCTAAGCAGCTGTGGCCAGGCAAAACCTGCGAAGCGCCCTGTGATTGCTGCTCCCGACATGGGACCTTGATACCAGTACCAAAGACATTCGAGTTGCTTCAAATGCAAGAGGAACAAAAGCGTTCGACATAGCTCCACTGTGGAGCTATTTTCACTCCTATTTTGTCGAACAGCATCATTCCGCAACAATGTGGCAGTGTACCTACGAACCACGACAACGTGAAAAGCCATAGCACAGATATTTGTCGATATTCATCAATGGAGGTGGTAAGGGTGGAGCCTATCCATTTAGATCACCATCGACGGTCAATTTCCACATGGTGGCTTCGATGATTGGACATCTACTAAAAACTGTACATATACAACGACCAACCTGCGCTTCGCTTTAGCGAGGCGGCCACGATAAAAAAGAACTGGGTGGTTAGATTGGCAGTCATACTTTTATCCTTTGTAGTTACTTGTTCGAGGCTCCGAAGTCCTGGAGTCCTGGGTTTCCATTCGTGATGGCCGCTGCGAAATCTGAGATTACACGACAGTGGAGGACAATCATTGTACAAAGTTTAGATACCACTCTATTTCAAGATTGATGGAACTTACAATGTCCACAAGGCATAATTGTGAAACACAAAGACGATTGTTCTACTATGTGATGATTTGATTACTACCATTGTGCATTAAAATCCTTGCTTCATTCTAGACCTACGATGCTATCAATGGGAGTTAACCAATTGTCCAAAGAAGGTGTTCCGTCACAGATCATCAAATGAAATAAAGTGATCCAAGTGAACAGTTGTGGAGTTCGTTTGTGCGATGGATCTAATAACTACTCACGTAACGTTGCATGTGATTCATTTCGTGCATACTACATCGATAAAACCAAATAGAGTAAGGCACTGACCAACGAGTAGTCGAAGGTAGTTCTTTCCCGCGCCTGAAATGTTCTCGAAGGTCTGCAGATTAAAATTTAACTCCCACCATGATCACAACTCTTACATCAAGCACCCGGCGAACCTGAGCAAGCTCGTCATAGAGAAATCACGAAGTAAGTGTACTCTGCTTAACTTCCACTGGTCTGGATACTGATTCAGAGATTTTAGACAACTAATTAAGGGCGACGTGGTATGGATCACATCACTCCTACAACGTTCCTCAGGCACGGCTGATCGTCTTCAAGATTAAGTGAGTTTAAACCCAGTGCGATGACAATCCCTCCGTGCTTCTGCGCAATGAGCTCAATTCGCATAAACTTCTGCGGCATATGTCCCTCTTGGACATGAAATGAGAGAATTATATACGTGGCTGCAGTTCCAAGCTACTCGTCCCCCACGTAGTATCAGTAACGCAAGAGATCTGGGAACATACTCTGCAGGGAACCAAATGCTCAACCCCTTCTGATTATCTCCATTACATTTGCGGTTACATCTCAACTATTGAAATTCGGTGAGAAGTGACTCGCAGCAGCGGTGGCTGTTCCAGCTGCTACCATCTGTTTCAGTGTAAAACTTAGAGGATCTTCACTTACAGGGATTCTAACCAAGTCGCAATTTCAGTACCGATTATTGCCATATCTAGACTATTATGAACGAGAAGTGTGGACCAAGGGCATCACAAATGCATCGTGAACCTGGTCTAAAAATGTAGGGATGGTCCGAAACAACTGAAGCTGCGTGATTCCAACATCTCACAACTCACAAACTAGAGACGCTGCTTTTCTCATCGTGCTAACCAACTCTTACTGTCCCAGTTCAACAAGTCCTGATATCGTCGCACCTTCAGGACGAGCACGTACCCATCCTAGCTTAACCCACACGCCGTGGTGGACAGAGAGACCAGCAAAAACACAACCCCGACCAATCACTACGCTACGAATTGTTACAGATCGCCACAGTCTGGTACTATCCACAGTATCGAGATCTACAAGCCGACTTCTATCCAAAAACTCTGACGATTCAACCCATCGGTGAAGAAGCATGAACAATCAATAGCAAGATCCATTAGAGGCCCACGAGGGTAAGTGACTGTCGAGGGTTCTAGTGGAGATGAGTGCCTGTGCCGCTCAGACGGGCAACAGACCCAAACCAGACGAGAAGACAGGCCACAGAAAAATTGCAGAATTCATGGGTAGAATCAAAAGGGAAGAGAATGCTGATAACAGGCGATGCTGGGGCGGAAATTCATTGGTTCACGAGGATTACCACGATTCTCGCTGGCCAGTCAGATGTCGATCTCAGCCTCTCGAGATTCGGGCACCAGTCGCCGCGCCGGAATGCCACATCAAGCTTTAAAAAACATTCGTGGATGATTCACTCCGTCTTCAAACTTCGCCATCCTACAAATTCTCACCCAGCCCTTGTTTGCATTTTCATGACACAAGCAACTCCGCCATGCTTTACACCAACGCTTGACACCAGATCAATGGGTCTCGTTGCAAGTTCCACACCGACAACATGCGATCAGACTTTCACGCTTTAACTTTCACCGAGAACATGGTTTTTTGTTTTGTATTTTGAGAGGTGGATTATTGGTTGGATACCATGCAGTTTACTTTTTCCTTCACACTACAAGTGCACTTTGAAAATCGGTGGGGTGCAATTGGAAACTGTGCACAAGTTTGTCTCATTCAGGTGACCAACAATCACTTCATTTTGTGAAAAAGGGTGGTGAGTGCTTAATCCTAAACCCAATGGTCTCCACCACATGGTTGATCCAATATGCTTGCTCCATCAAGAAGTCTAACTGACAATGGATTTTGTTTGGAATGATTTTAAATTACTCAACTAAATCAAGTTGCACCAAAAATTATCTTGTATATAGGGTTGGTGGTTCAAAATACCAGTCCTTCTTCATAGATAGCACATAAATGTAACTTTTGTTGTATACAGAAAAAATTAAAATATTAAACAAAACAAGTAAAGATGGATTAAATGTAGGAGAGTATATTTTTTTTTAAAAAGTATATGTAATGTATATTCTATACATTATATTGTTGCATAATATTTATTTACAAAGATTTCATCACTTCTCACAAATATATGATTTGTTGGGAATGTACATATTGTTAGCCAATTGATATAATAGAAGGTATTGGATCTTACAAATAAAATAGAATATTACATTTGTAAAATTAATTAAGGAAACAACATATGTCTTATCCAAACATCACATCTAATTTGGAGGAGAGAGAAGTTAATTTTTTTTCATTCTTTTTTATTTAAGATAAATATTTTTTGTAACCTTTAAAAAAGGAGGAATAAAGATGCCCTCTCTCTATCTTTTTTTATTTAGGTTTTTAAATAATTTTTTTTAAGTATGATAATTTTCAAGTATTCTTTTATGACTTTGAGATTCTAGTTACATAATTGATTTGTAAATTCATCTGAAGATATTTCTGTATTAAATTTTATTTATTATTTAGTCTTTTGAACTATATAAATATGTGTTTACATATTTGACTAACTAACATTTTAGTAATTATATTATAATGAATTGTAGTATAATATATTTTAGAAAACTATAAATTTTCGCAATTTTTAATACTTTAAAACTTTAATTAAAATTAAAGCAATATCATAAATAATATTTATATTTGACTTTTAATTTTTTTTATTTTGTGTGTTTTAAATACGTATTTATTTATTTATTCATTTATGGAAATGAAATCTAAAAAATCTTATTTGATTAAGATCTTTTATAAGTTTTTATAAAGATGTATAATTTTTTTCATTGATATTATCATTAGTGACTATTCTATTTTATCATATCTAATTTACAAAATATATATAATAGTAAAGATATTTAAAAACAATTGAAATTGGAATCTTTTTAATGTTTAATATATTTGAAAATTGCACAATAAATCATAAAAAGAATACACATGTATATAGGAAAATGTTGAAATAACCCACCATATCCTAGGTAATAAAGTCAGTTAGAATGAGAGCTAGAAACAAGGGGGAAGGGAGGGGGGATTTTTGGGGATGGGGATAAAATGAGCATGGATTAAGCAGATAAAGATGAGGGCCATGATTGTAATGATGGTTATGATAGGGTAGATTGATTTAATAAATGGATGGGTCACTTTAATATTTATCCATAAATATATATATATATATATATATATATATACTTGTTATTTATTTTCTTATTTATTTATTTACAAATTTTGATAGATTTTTTATATAATTAAAAATAGTTATCATTAAATATTATTTATTAACAATTTAAACGGTTGTCTTTCAATGCTCTAAAAGAATAATATCAATGCATTGTCTTTTTTTATTAGTTTATGCTAAAATAATTCTTTATTTTATTTTAATTTTTTGTTTACCTACATCACTGCAAAATCAGATAATTTTTATATGATTTTCATATCACAAGTATTCTTTTTAAAACCACTTGCTTTACTATATATATATATATATATATATGTATTGTTTTTTTATTTTTTTAATTTATAAATTCATCTTAAATTCCTTCTTGACATTAAAAATATATATATTTTATATACAAATTAAAAACTGGATTAAATCATGTTACATTCAGATCATAACATTTGTTACACATTGATAATTCTTAATGTATTACATGCACACAATGCTAGGACCTATTTGATGTTCAAATATAACAAATATATGTACATTAATTTTTTAAATTTTACACACTGATTCTAAGATCACTTATACTGGAGAACAAGGTAGGAGCACCTTCTAAATAGCAATATCTTTTGTTAGCAAAGTTATAAAATTTAATTTGTTTAAATTTCCTATTTTTAAGAATGTGGAAGTTATCAATAATAAAGGCTCAATTCTAGCGTCAATGATCTATACTTTTTCATTTTAAAAACTGATCTACATGAATACAAGATAAAAACACACACACACACATGTTTTGTAATTTTATTGTTATTATGATATTACTTGATTTTTAAGATCAATCTGTGGCTATCTTATTATAAAAGTAGACAAAGTATCTCCTACGTAATATTAGACAAATAATTAGTTTCGAAATTGGTGTAGGAGATACTTTGTCTACTTTTATATTAGTCTTCGACAACATGAAACTCATCTACAACTTTTCGAATGAATGTGGAGACAAACCGGGACTGAAGCCATAACTCAGTGTCAGACAAATGTGTCAACCAGAATGTCGGCAGCTACGTACCTGGACACAGGGGACTCCGTCGATACAGATATAGATTTGCAGCAAAAAATGAAAAAAAAAAAATAAATAAAATGACGCTATCGCATGAAGACTCAAATCACGTTTCACAAGTATAATATGTTAAAACCCTGTCAGTATTAAAGAAGACATTATCTCTTACAGAATGTTGAAAGATAAATACAGACTATTCCATTTTTTTTGAAGTACTAAGGGATAAAAGACGGATACATGCTCATGATAGCCAGACAACAGGAGAACAGTCTATAGTTACCCTCTCATTTCATTCTACAAAAGCCATGACAAAGATGACAAGAACATGTGAATGTGTGTGTGTGTGTTACTTATATGTACCATTCACAGTATACCCTCACAAAATGACTTTCAGACCGGAGTACAACCACACTAAACTTTCCGACGTCCCCTAAACGTCATTACGTATATAGTTGCTACAAAAAGTTTTTGAGACCTGACGAATTTTAATTCCCACTATGCACATTACAGATGAAGCTCATTCCTTGGGAGCTTGAACGATGCTGACTCATATGTACAAAGTAGTTATAGAAATTCTACAGCAGCGCAACTTCTCTGTTGAAGATCCAACTGAAGCTCCCTGTCTTTGGACCCTTTTTCACCTTCGCTTGAGCGCGTTCATCCAGTCTTCTGATTCGAGGGGGCAGTGAGCACACATACTGTTGCGCAGCCTCGCCTTCACTGGAAAGTCCTTTGACATGAGCAACATCCCACCTCTTCACCAAGTGCTCCATGATGTCCGCGTAATCCCGAGCAGTGTACACGCCCGTTCTTTGAGCCACCAGTGAGAAGTCGTCGAACAGGTGCTCGTTCTCACCATCGTACATCAGATGCGCCGGCATTGATATCTTCTTCCTCATCATGTCGGCAAATGCTAGCATTGCGCCGTCTGGGTCCAGCTCGAACAGCTTCTCAACGATCTTCGTGTAGGCATTCTCGTGCCTCCTTTCGTCTGCGGCAATGATTCCACAAATCGTCGCAAGCTTTCCATCACCATATTCCTTCGCATGACGGGCAGTGTTACCGTGCGAAATGAAAGTTGCCCTCTCCTGGAACGAGGTATACACGAAACCCAGGTAGGGATTGTTCTCTGTCTGGGGATCCTGCAGAGCCAAACAGGCATCAACGTTAAACCCCGAACACCAATGCCAATGCTAGTACAATCCACTTGGCGTTCAACCCCTCCACACATCACACCCCGACCAAAGCAGTAAGTATTCATGGACCCCTTCCAAACTCTCATGCATTCAGTGTGTCCGTGTGTTAGTGTCTCTCTTAGGTCAAGCCTGCTGTGTGGCAAATGTTCTTCGAACTTCCGTACGCAATTTAATTTGCGTAGATACAGTAGCTGGCAGACACATTCAGCGAGCATCATAATTTTTTAGGGTGAAAACATGGCTTCTTACCATCCCAGATCCAATCAAGTACTGAATTGTCTTCTCGATTTGTCTCATGTCCACTCGCCCTGTCAAGTACAAGTACTTGTTCAGCAGGTCTCCGTGACGGTTCTCTTCGGCGGTCCACGCACGAGTCCACACACCCCAAGGAGTCGGGCTGGCGCCCGTTTCGTCCCGGCTTCCATCGAGTGTGTTCAACATTGTCTGGTACGTGGGTAGAGCCTCCTCAGTGATCATGTCGCCAACCAGACACACCAAATAGTCATCAGGCAAGCATGCAGACCTCTCCCGGAGCTCCCGGACCTGGTCCAAGAAATCCTCTGCAGACGGTTCTGGGAGAAAATCCTGTGGCTGCCAGCACTTTTCCACGGGCTTTAAGTAAGGTAGAATAGTCTCAGACGCCCAGCCTTCAAGGGATTTGAATAATTCCAGCTTCTCTGGCGTGATAGAGTGCATAATTTTGGAATGCTTCTCCAATGGTTGCTTACTGACATTAAGTCCCCTGCAACCAAGACAGTGGTATTTACGTAAGAGTTCATCCACTTCATTGAATGTATCTATGAATTTGAGGTCTTTGAAGGAGGCATATAAATCCAGGCCCATCTTCACCCCTATATAAGAGGTGAACCAGTAACGCGGGGACTTAACAATGCCTCTCCAACTGCAGTGGTGTACGCAGTGCCTAAAATAGGTCAGCCCGCCATCCACTCAAAACATCACCTACATAGCATAATGTGCATGACTGAGGAGGCATTAAGCTACAGGAATCCGTTGTGAAGATTCAGGACCTTGTCAATGCATTCTAATTGATTACGGCCCCTTAGAGAATGAAATTGCCGACGTACTAATTGTCCCGGAATTTGAAATCGCGATATGCACAAGAGACATTGCGCGTGCGTGCACGTTCACAAGGGGCCCTTGATGTTGAACAATAATCACTTGTAATGCAAGATGATCTCTAGTTATACCAAATCTCAGCACAAGAACTTCAAGAAACACTGCGTTCGCTTCCGTAGACAATGCCACTGCCGACTTACTTGGATTTTGGAGGAAGTGTCGCAGTCATATACACTTTCAATCCAGCAGCCCTTCGGGTCGAAGTGGACCCGGCATTGCCAGTGCTATGGTTTAAGGCGCTAATTCTGGTCGCGCCTTGGAAAGCTGCAGGCATAGCCATTGCTGGAATGGCTTGTCACTCCGAAGCGACGCGATTGAAATCAGCTAGATTCAACCTGCATATTTTCCATTGCTATGATTCATTACAAACCAGACCTCTCAGAAACCACATAATATAAGTAATAACTCCCGACACTTATCTAGCCTGTACAAAGAAAATAAACAAAAACAAAAAAAATTAACAGGGAACTCAAACACTCGCTCTCATAAGACGCACGAAACTAAATTATCAAATGCCATCTCTCTCTCTCTCTCTCTCTCTCTCTCTCCCCCTGACACAAACATACACTCGTCTGAGACCATATTGAGTAATATCTTCAGAACTAGGAAAAACAGAAAAAGAAAAAAAGAAAAGATAAAAACGGGTTGCTCAGAAGAACAATTGATTCTAAAAAATCTCCACTGTGAGCAGAAAGGAGTCTGCAGGGGAACGGTGGGTCCACTATTCTCCATGAAAGCCCCTCCGATTTCGGCACGGACTCGAACGGTTCACAAACATTTAAAAAAGAAAAAAAGCAAAAAAACGAAAAACACTCATGGCCGAATCCCCCGACACACAGCCACAGACGACTTACTTGGATGCAGCAGCAGCAGCCCGACCTCGGAGATCCAGCAAGCAATTTCTACCTCGCGAGGGGCTGCATATAAGAATTCAAGCTAAATCGGGTGGCAACAAAGGAGCGCACATCAAAGGATGCAAACAGACAATGGCGACGTCAATGAGCCGCTAGACAATGGCTCTGCGAGCTGCATAAATCCCCCTCCTCCTCCGCCTCTTCCTCCCTCTAGCTGCTGACGCGTCGACGAGACCGAGGCAGTAGCTTCGTCTCCGAAGCGATGCAGCCCCGAGGCCCGCACGCAGGTTCGGTCCCGTCGTGGGAATGAACGATGAAGAGATTCCGACCATTGCTTCTGTTTCCGAGCCTCCAAGTAGAGTTTGAGCCGTTGTCTTAAACTAGCTCTTCTTCTTCCTCTTCCACTTCGCAGAGAGGAGTCTGGGCCTGCTCTCTCTCTCTGTATGTCTCACACCTGGTCGGCTGTGAGTGCTTTAGAGCCCTGGGGCCAACCCCAAAACCCCCAAAAATCTCAACCCTCTCCTCTCTACCTCTGGATTTTATGATATTTCAATACTGTATTCTGTAGTAGACCTGGCAGTGGCAGTAACATTGGCTGGCACCCTCCTCCATGCTACGCACTTCCCAACTGTAGTCCCCAACTTCGCTGCTCCATGAAAGCTCATGCACTCTTTTGTCATGCATATTTAGTAAACTCCCACTTCGCCCTGATGATTGACGCCTCCCGACGCATAATTTATTAACTCCCACTTTGAGTGTGTGCGTGTGTGTGCATAGGTTCTATCAGTCACGAGGGCATCACAAGAGCAAGTTGCATCCAGCCACAAGATGATGTTCTGAGTACTCAGCATTGGGCTGTGCTTCATGCCACATCAGCAATTTTCTCGTAGGTCTCGTGAATGAGTAGTTGACACGTGGTAGAGGTGCATGAGAAGCCATGTAGGTGTGGGGGAAACCTGGGTGTCTTGTGAGGTTTGGTTTGGTTTGGTTGGGAGGTTCCATGAAAGGAAAGGGAAGGAAAAGGGGGGGGGGTGCTGGCTCTCCATTGATGATGGGACTAACTTATTGGAAGGGTGCTGTACCCTTGGAAAAAGCTTTCCATTTGATAAAGATGCATTTTGATGGAAACTTGTCTTTGATATCGACTTAGTCACCTTCAACACCCCCTTCATATTAAACACCCTTCATACTAAGTTGCCATGTATCGATGAACGGCCGGATGGGTGGAAGGCTTAATAAATGGGTGAATGAATGAGCTGGTGTATGCAGTGATGAATGTATTGATGGATGAACTAATGGATGGATGGATTGTGTCTTGGAAACGAATGAGAATTGGGGGTTCCTAGTGGATGATTCTGGAAAATTCTGGCAAACCATGCTAATGGGACCAGGCTTTAGGCTTTGGAATCATCTACAAATGAACAAGAAGATGAGCCCCTTCATCTCTGAAATGAGTTTCATATACTTTTCCAACTTTTAATAAATGTGTAATAAACCATTCTTATTTATGTATAAGAATGGTTTATTTCTTGTAGCATTAGGGCATTTTGATTTGGATTTAATTTTTGTTATTTTGAATTAGCTCAACAGTTCTTCAAGGTACACAGATCTACACTGAAAAAGTATGTGCACAAACCTAATATACCTTCATAAACTAAATTCCAATCATCTCCATTAAATGGATGAAAAGAAAATAAAAAAAATAAAATTATTGAGGGCATAAATGAATTGATACTTCCCATGCAAACAAAAAGCCATGTTATTCTGTTCGTCATTATAAAAGTGGATGTTGTTGTTTTATGATTTGATGGATTTTATTTATTTATTTATTTTTTCCCCCTCCCAAGCAGTCACAGCCTGTTGAAGCTTGTATAGTTTAATTTATTTCTAGCCTGCTACTTATTGGATACAGCGACAATGGTGTCAACCATTGGTTATAAACTGACCTCCATAATATGACTTGGTTCTTATACCAATTCTTTTTAATATGTGTAAAAACATTAAAAAAAAAACACTCAAATTTTTAGAAGTTATGTAGTAAAGCTACTTACAACTTTAAAGACAAAACATCATTAAAAGGATTTCAAATAAACATGACGTGTAAAATAAATAAATATATATATATATATATATATATATTTGGAATGCATTTGATAACTATAATGTTAACATGATTTATAATTCAATTCAATATTGATTTTTTAAAATCAAAATTGGCTTGATAAACAAGTAGTTGCATTCAAAATATAAAATAGAAATATTATAATATTTCCTATAAAAATTAAAAAAAGAACATATCTATTATACAAAACAACTCAGGGGAGACAAAACAGCCTTTTGATTTGCTGCATGCCTCATTGTTTTCATGATAAATGAAGCAAAAGTAATTTCCATGTAGTGATTTGCAAGGCTCCTAACTTTGTTAACTCTTTATTCTCTTTGAGTTAGTCAACAACAATAACGTTGATGTGTGGGAGGAGAAGCATAGGAATCTATGGGAGTTAGCATGGAAATCCATTGGAATTAGGCAAAGTGAAAAGTATTTGTATTATTGTTGTAAAAACACTATTGAGGCTTATTTATGAGTATTTTCTCTGGTGGTAGTAGCTGAACAAAATGTAGATAAATAGGGATATGAAAACAAGGGTATGGTTATCACATGATGTTTATGTGGTTGACCTCTCATTTGACTAGTTCAATTTTTTTCAGTTTATTTGTTGCTATGGACTGAAGTCTTTTTTTTTTTTTTTTTTTTTTTTTTTTTTTTGCATCTAGATCTTGTAGGATCTTACAAAAATAAATTTTCATGTCTTCACATAAATTTGTCTAGCATGTATAGTATGTGATTGTCTAAACATTTCATGTATATCAATGGAATTTGTTAAATTTAGATCAAGATCTTTTTCATGCTCTATGAAGACATTTTTGCTCTGTTTTGCAACATTTGACATAAGTTGTGGCTGCCTTCTCAACTTTCAAACTTGCATAAGCACAGCAATGATAATGTTACTCTTTGTGAGGACAATGTTGCTTGAAATATACCATGTGGCTACTGAATCCAACATTATTAAGTGATGGAGCAGATTGCCTTTTTCCATCAATCTATTCTAGTAATTTTAATAATGATTAATAATTTATTAGTAATTTAATTAAAAATTATTACTAAATATTACTAAATAATTAATAAAAATTATCAACTAATAAAAATAATAATTTATTATTAAATATTTTAAAATAATATTAATATTAAATAATAATTTATTAATACATTACTAATAAAATTCAATTAAAGCATATATTTATAATATTTATATTTTATTACTAACTAAATAATTTGATATTTATTATTAAACTTATTATCAATCATTAGATAATTATTTTTATAATAATATTAAAATTAATAATTAATAATTAGTGAATTAAATTTAATAATAATTAATAAATTACCAACACAATTATACATATAATTTTTAGTAATTAGCAAATTATTTGCAAATTATTTTGTACTATACAAAATATTAATACTCAATGTAAGAATTTGGACAGTTGGAAAAAAATGATTTATAGGATTGCAACTTTGTAGGATTTCAACTTTGTCTTTAATAGATGATGATCTAGAATTAACACCATTGTCGTGATGTAACATGACTAATAGGTGAAAGAGTGTGGAAAGTTTACATTATAGAAGATCTTAGTTCAAAATATTATAGTAAATTATCTCAGAAATATAGATAATAGTTAAAAGGGTAGTAAAACTAAAAGGTATTAATATTATTTTTTACAAAATGGACTTCTATTTACTTTGTAAGATCATAAATAAGGCAAAAAAAAGTAAAATAGAAAATTAAATAATATAAGCATGTGTGGAAGGGAGTTAAGAGTAGATTTTAGCAAAATTTACCTCAAGAAACCAAGAATTGATATTCAAAGAGGATTGGTTGTCAACATAGGTTGAAATTAGATCCCAAGGCACAAAACCACACACCTATGGCGACTCTAGGATTCTTTTGGAGATTAGAGAGTGGAAATTGATAGTAGACTTAATATGGTTTCTATGAGCATTGGTTTTGTATGATTTGGATTTGTAATAACTTTATAAGAGCCTTTCAAAGTCAAGATTGTTTTGAATAACTCGGATTTTTGTGAAATAAAATAAGATTGAGATTTTGGACAATTCCAAGAGTTTCATAGTTGATCTACAAATGAAATTTTGTAGGTTAGTAGTTATAGTTATGCTTAATATGTGTTGTGAATTTTAGCTTGATCTAATAGTTGAATTAAAGGTTATTGAGGTTTAAGTGGGTCAAGGTCTCAAAAAGTAGAATTTTAGATCTAGTAAGGATTTTTAAGATTTCTTGAAATCTACTAGTTGGATTAGAAAGAAAGTTATATGTATGGATAATAGAATTATTTTTTTATATATATAAAATTTTTGAGATCAATTAAATGGTGCAAAAGAAAGATGTTAACACTGGAAGATTACTATTAAGGTTGGAAAAGAGGCTAGCCAATATTTGAGTAGATTTTAGGATTTTTCTTCTATTTGATAAGTACGATTCTATTCAAATTTGTTGTACATATTTGTAACTAAGGGATTGAAAAATGTATAAAATTTTAAACAAGATCAATGATGTCATGTTGTAAAATGGCTAATAGATGAAAGAGTGAAGAAAATATTATATTTTTGAAGATCTTATTTCAAATATATTATAACAAATTATCTTGAAAAATTAGATAATAGTCAAGGGATAGAAAAATTAAAAGTAATCATATTGCCTTTTTATAAAATAGGCTTTTACTGACTTTGTAGGACCACAAATACAGCAAAATAAGATAGATAAGAAAAATAAATGATATAAACACCTTTGAAAAGAAGTTAAGAGTAGTTTTTATCAAAAATTATCTAAAAAAACTAGATATTGATACTTGGAGAGGGTTGGTTATTAACCACAGTCAAAATCAGACCTTGAAGCACAAAATTGAGCTCCGATGACAATTCTAGGATTCTTTGGCAGATTGAAGAGTTGAATTAGAGAGCAAACTTGATAGAGTATTGATAGGCATTGATGTGGGGTGATTTGGATTTGTATTAATTTTGTAAGAGCTTTGCAAAGTTAGGATTTGTTTTGGGTGACTTTGAATTTGTGAAATAAAAAAAAAGATACCTTTTAGAGAATTTT